GGTTTAGTCCATGTTTTCATTTACCAGGGTTCCATTCTGGGTACCGATTTATTGACCCACATTTGAACATGCTCCTTGTTGATTCCATGTTGTGAATCATAGTAATTTGCCCAAAGTCCTTGCCAGGCTGCGATTGCAATGGGCCCTACTACGCCTACCAGGCCAACTGCGTCTGGCAGCAGACGGGCGGCCGCTTCGGCCCGCGCTCCCAGAGTTGCCGGGCGTTTGGGCCGAAAAAAGTCGCGTGGCCTGGGAAGCTGTGCGGTTTTCTCAAGTTGCAAAAAGTGAAGGACCGATGATATGCATGGTATGTGAAGCAAGAGAGGGTCGGTTTCCGAAAATCCAGCTTTACAACCAGAAGTGTTGGTTTCCAAAATTGAAGTGACCCCTCTTGGGAGATGGTCGGACGAATTTCCAAATTAGTTCCAAAGAAACGCCAACATTTGTGGTGGTGCTCGTTTGTGTTGCGCATTGTGGCCAAGCCACTTAGGGGGGAAAGCAACAAGTTGGCTTCAGAATCAAAACAGCAACCTCGCTGTGCGGTCCACGCATATCCCGGCACTTTGCCCATCGGATCCACGTACTGAAGTCGGTAGCCGCGACATCGAGTTTTTGGGACGACAAACCGAGGGGAATGGTTCAACGTATCTACAGCCAGGGCCAAACTGCGTCCCCAGGGTTTTCCATTGATATCATTTGATCCGTTGCGAGAAGACAGAATAATATACAACCTCCACACCCTCTGAACGAGTTTTTTTTGGAAGGAGAGTGAGAAGGTGGACCCTGGCTCGTGAAGCATCAAATGGTGCAAGCCCCGAAGGAAGCCGAGAGGTGCTTTGCTTATTGCCCCGCTCTTCCCGGCAAACCTTGGTGCACGCCTTGGAAGACGAAACCTTCCCTCGTGCAAAGTCTGTGCACGTGCGGCACCTGGCGCCTCGCAGCTGTCGGCCTGGCAACGGTACGCTTGAGGTGATGAGACCATGCTTCCCCTGCGCCTGAGCTCTGTGACGGCGGATTCAGCTCTGGCCTCAATGCTTTGCTCCAAAGGTGTGACCGAACTATCCATTCAACGCGTGTACCACACATGGCACATCCCAAGGAAGCTGTTCGGATCGATTACATCAACAATATGAACTTGAATTGGTAGAGACACGTTGAGCAAGCAGGGACTGGCTTAGCAGTGATTCACCCAGCTACGTACCGTGCATTGGTTGATATGAATACAAATGAGTGTTGTATACTGGTGCGACCTTTAACCCGTTCAACCTGTTCAGCTGACTCTTCGACGTTTCTGTTTTTTACTAGCCATGGCAAATAATTCCCTTTTAGGCGGCGAATTCCCAGTTGGTTTCAAGAAAGGAGAGAGGTTCAAGTTCCCAAACGACCAATCCAAACCACCGAGTGCTGTAGGCAATGGCATATGAGAGACCTTTGGTTTTTGAGAACGTTGTGGTGGGTTTTGACACGGCCAAACAAGAAGTCGACAATCTGCAGGGTCATCCGCCATATATGGTTTTGGACAAACAGCCGGCCACAACAACAATCTCCCCGCTCCAGCAGTATGAATAGCGCGGCAGGTGAATAATAACACCAAAGATTAGCTATAGTTCAAATAAGTATGGCTAGTTTGGTGTTCATGTCCCCCACAAAGCCATTCCAATTGCTTGCACCCCAGTTCAGGAGAAGCAGTAGGGCACCTCTACCCCCTCTTACAGGTTCTCAGAGTCCCGTAAGAATCCCTTGCAAGAAGGTTCCAATGCTCACTAACTGTAGCCGAGGCCGAGATGCTGGCAGATGTAGAGCGAGATGCGCGGCTACGATGCGAAGTCCTCAGTGCCATGCGGTGCCGAATAGCGCACATGTGTATTATGGGTTTTGCTTCAAACTACCCCGAACAAGGAGTGTCCTCTCAAACAGGACTCCCAAACCATTGTCTTTGCATGGGCGCCTTGTTCTACTGATGCACCAAAGGGAGATGCTTGTACAATTCACCACATGTTTAATCCTGCCATGTTAAGGAAGATAAAAGAACGAAGATGTGTTTTATCTTGTCAGACGCCTAGGAGAGGTTTCTTCCCAATCACACCCCTTGAGTCCAGCAAATCTCTCAGTAGAGGCTGCCACTCCTACAGTCAGGCCGACAGAAGCATTGAACATCTTGGCAGAACCACCCTTTGATAGGTTTTGTTTGCTCGGCGCTCATGCAGCATGTGTCAGAGTTAGTTCTTGTCTTCTGAAGGAGTGTTTCAAGCAGAAACCGACATGAGATCAACCATTAATTGGAGGGCCCCCACTGGCTTAGATGCGGCCACATGTCCCATGGTTCCTAGCTCGCCGAGCTGTCTGGTTATGTCTCGAAATGCGGGGGAACGCTTCAAAGAAATGTCGTGTTTTAGTTCTACGACACATTGACCAAAAAGGAAGAACCACTCTTCAGTCTCAGGCGACAACGCTCGCGAGCGAAAATGAAACCCAACACAAACAACGCACGATGCAGACACACCCACACAACCCCATTCACCCAACCTCCCAACCAACCAGCCAACCAGCCACCCTACCTACCCCCACACCCCCACCCCACCCACCCGCCCCACCCAATCACCTGCCCACCACCCGCGCACACTCGCACACAAAAGCGCGGCTCGCTTTCCTTCGCGCCAGGCAACGTCACGGCCGCGGATATCTCAAAGGCCCCCAGCACCTCAGCGACCTGCACGGCCTCGGGCTGCAAGTTGGCCATGGGGAACCTGGAGCCCTCCACCACCTACACCGTGCAGCGTGGCTATTGCGCGGGATGCCGTGAACTCCCTGCCAGGTTCACGACAAAACAAAACACATTCCAAGACGTACTTGTAGATGCCGTTTCAAACAAGGAGTCGTTCTTGTTTTGCTTTTTGTTTGGGGAAGGGGGGTGTGCCATGTCAATGTGAATGGTGGCTCCCAGCCCATCCCCTTAGCCTTTAAGCCTTCTAGTGTTTAGTGGTAGTTTCCATTCAACCCACTAAAAGTGAGCCACTTTTCGCGGATCGGTTGCCACGGGCAGCCCAGTCCATGGCTTCGGATTTTCGGGGCCAACGCCTTTCGGCCGAAGCGAGGCATTGCGAGGCGGAGGCGGACGCGCTGCACCGCGCGAAGCGGCTGATGACGCTGCTGGTGCGGACCTTGGACCCTGAGGCGCGGGCGAGACGCGTGAGACGCGTGAGACGCTGGCGACGCCGCGGTTGGTGAGACTGGCCACCGATGGCTCACTCGACTTGTTGGGAAGACCATTTTAGTGGTAAGTACAAAGTTCTGACAGTTGTTGGCCAGTCCACTCTAAGTGACTCAGGAATTGAGATGGAGTGTTGACGCCGACAACCAGAAGGGTTTGTAAGAAGAAAGTCATGACCAGAAACCATAAGAAGTTTTGAGCATTGCAACTATGAGGCCCCCTTGTTTGCCGGCACAGGCGAAATCACTTGGAGCAGATTACCCCTAATCTTAGTACCCAAATTCCAGGTATCGTCTTTGGCAGGGATCTTTGGATTGGGATCTCACATCGGTTTGTCTCCGAATTGGGCTTGTTTCATGTTGAGCGCCCCAGCAAAAGAGAAATGGCGTACAAACACAGCCCAACTGACAGTTTTTCAGGAGGCCCCCAAACAATTGTGGATCTGGCTGTGGGTCAAAACCAATGGTACCATTTTGGGGTGGGCCATTCATTTTAGTCTATTTTAGTGGGGATTGGGATGTTCACTGGGGGTACGATTTGGATTTTGAGCCATGGTATAGACGAATAGTTCACTCAAACCTCAAACTGGGAGCCTTTGGTCTTTCTCCAGGTTCTGCCCGTCACCATGACACCCACCCGGGCGCCTGTGGACCTCTCCGTGCCCTGGCCTTGGGTTTTTGGCTTGGGATGAATTGGCTGTGGGTCAAAACCCAGCAACTTTTTGGTGAACACCAACATAGGTGGCAAATGTTCATCCACCCCAAAATGGAGCCATAAGTTGTGCCCCATGGCCAATTATCTCTGGTTGGGTGTATCGGTTTGCCTTGATTTGTGTTGGTTGTTGTTTGGATTGTTGGAGAAGGGCACTGTTTCTTTTTGACATGGGTATAATTTGAATTGCCTTGATCCTTTGGTGCACATATGTGGACATCATGTCCATGGAAATCAATTTCCGCCAGCCATTTGTGAGGGTGTTCCAACCGTCAATTGTCATTGCCATTTGGTCCTACAGGCAGGAATTTGTTGGGCGGAAGCAGCGCAAGAGCCGCGGCACGTTGTCAGCCAGCTTGGGCGCTCACCGACACAAGCGTGGTGAGCGTCCAAGTCTAAGTGCTACCCAGTAGAACATGTGGAAGTCACACATATCTACTGACACGTTTCTTTCTTTGTTGTGTTTGCCTTTTCCGGGGTCCTAAGATTTCAGCACCTGGGTCGTTGGACCCCCACGCGTTTCTACCGTGCTTGGTGGCTCCCTAATCTCCCCCCCCCCCCCCCGACGTGCGCATTTGATCGGTTTGTTTGGGTTTGTTCAGGCAGCACGCACGCATGTTTCAGGCTACGAGGCGCCTGGGTATATTATAGGCTAGAAGTGCGAGCCAAAACTGGGACACTGATCCAACATGCAATCTATCAATTTGATGGTGTTTGACTTGTTTTTACCCAGACGCATGCCCAAGTAGAGATGACCACAAACTAGGGTTGGCCTGTTTCCTTGGAGCAAAGAAGTTTTCCGACACAATCAATCCTTCTGCCAAGTGCCATAGCACATGGTTGTGTTGTTGCCACCTTTGTGTTTGTGTTCTCGCAACAGAGAGGTTCAGACCCATGTCCTCCTGCATCCAGATTCCATTTGAACAAATACCGAGCTTATCTCGGAGGAAACAGAGCCATGATGATGGCCCCTGTGGGCCGCCCAACCCCGCATAGCATTTCCCTGCGAGGAACACTCATGACAGACCCGAAAGGCTTAAACCTTCACAATGTTGTGTGTTTGTGTGTTTCGCAAGTTCGCTGCCTTTTTTTTTTTTGGTGGTTTGTAGTGATTCTGTGTCTATGGGTTCTTTGCGCCAGGTTTTTTTTTTTTCCCCCCCTTGAGGAGCCGGACTACGTGTTGTCCACCAGCGAGGGCCCCTTAGAGCGGCTGCCGCACGGGTTGATGCCCGGCTGGATTTGGGCTCCGGCGCTGGTCTTCGCGTTCGCCGGGGTGTGCCTCACCTCCAAGATCTTCGGCCAGGGGAAGAATTCCTTGGTCCTGGAGCCGCCTGACTGGACCGGGTTTATGGGTATGGGTCAAAAATACACCAGGGGACCGCGGGTTTTAGTCCTTGGTTCCTTTTACCAGAGTTCCATTTTGGGTACCTATTTTTGACCCACGCCCATGGGTGAAATGCTTTCTGTGCCGAAGAAAAGGGTGTTTTTTTGTTGGGGGATGCTGAGACCCATTGGGTGGGTGAGGCACTGCAATGCTGTTTATGATGCCGAACAAAAGGGTGGCCCGTGGAGTTTTTTTCACCTTCCCCCACTTGAGCCCGTGGTTGTGGTAATTGTTAGTTTTACAGGCCTTTTCCCACCTTCTGTGAGCCATGGAAATCCCTGGACTGGCAGAGAAGCATCACCGTGGTTCAAAAGGCTTGAAAGGGAACCTAAGCCCCACCTGGCAATTAGCCAAGGCTGAAGAAAGCCATGTGTTTAGTGCCGTGCAGCTGGGTGGCTCAAACATGTTTGAAATGGTTGGCCCCACCCTGGCATGGGTCTACTATCTGGTTTCCAAAGGCAGGGTGCCCTTCGTCCCTAGATTCTCTTTGAGGGGCTTCAACAAATGTTTATACACTTGTCGAAAATGCCAACTCGAAGCAAGTTGTTGTGTGATGTGTGCTGGAAATATAGTCGAACTCTGACTCTTTTGTCGGCTGTTTTTTATCGGAGAACCAAGATGAAACCGTCCATTGCGTCGCAATGGTGTCTTATTTGGATCCGGTCCAGTTGTGGTCACTTGTCGAATGAGCACTTCAGTCAGGTGACATTTGCTTGTGGAAAGCTGCCTCTTGTTGTCTTGTTTTTTCCGTCAGCCACTTTGTCAGTTGTGTGAGCCATGGGTAATTATTCCCCCCAAAGTGACAAAGTAGTGACGGTTGGATGATCTTGGATGGACGCGAACAAACTACGTTGCTATCACAGAATCGTGGCCATGGCTGCATAGGGTGATTTCAACAAGGACCCCAAACGATGTGCGGGGTTTTCTTTGTTTTCCCTGGAGAAATCCACCAGGGCGCCAAAAAATCCGACGGACACCGTTCAGTGAAGACTCGCCAGCCATTGAAAGGTCCTTGGAGCTGCCGCACACCTTCTGGCTCATTTGGGAGCTGCTTGTGGCGGCTGCTCCTTGGATGGATGTCGAAGGAATGGGCAAACGGGCCCAACGGAGGAGAACAGGGGGGGGAATTTGGGGCGTTGCCGGGGCGGTTGCGGGGATGGGGGGGGTGGAGGGGGCAAGGAGAAGGATTGAAGGAATCTAGCAATCAAGGCTCATTCTTGGAGATTCCGTTGTTTCGCGGTGGCGCGGTGGTTTGGTCCTTGTCATTGCAGAGGGCTGTTGTCAAGTATCAGGAATGGGGATAGGGGCAACAGTTGGCGTTGCAAAGGCGCAGGCCCTGATTCTGCCTAATCTGTTGAGTATATCGATATTTGTGAAGAAGGAGCCTAGGGTTGCAGGGTCAAGTAGTGAATTGCTCGCAGAAGCAAAGTCCAAGCTTGGTGAACACTAGTCTCGACACGTGGAAAGGTTGAAAGTGACCAAGAGCAATGCATTGGCGGCTCCTGAGGATCTGTCCTTGGGCACGGGCTTCCTTCTGATCCTCCTGCTGCAGCGCTTCGAGCGAGAGGCGCCCTATTGGGACGACCTCAGCAGCCTCCAGGCCGCGGAACTTCAGGGCCCCTAGGGCCATGGTTGGTGGTTCTTAATGTTAACCCCTGATAAATAAACCCCGGGTTGATTAAGAGGGGGGTGTCCCCTTTTAGTGGGGATTCATCACTTTTGGAGCGGACACCCCCCTAATAATGGGACGGGTTTATTAATCCTGGGTTCACATTGTGGTTCTTATGGGTCTTATACCCAGCCTTATCAATAATTAAAGGATTCTTTGCTTCCAGACAACGCCTTTACGCCTGGAGTCAGGGTCTCATTTTGGGTGTAAACCACTGGGGGGGAATGCCACGAGAGCATCTTCAAAGGCTTGGCGAACTCATAGGTGGACGGACCTCTATCGAAAATGCATCAAGTCCCTTGAAATCCCAGAGTTGTTTGTGTTCCTTTCAAATGAGGGCAACACTTGTATGCGTGCTTACCAAAGTCACCCCTGGACGAAAAGGAAGCATTTGGATGGTTGCAAAAGCGCCAGGAGCCTCAGACCCGCTTAGATCTAGGATCTATCCCCCAGGTCGATATTTCCAGGGTCGACTTTTTGCGGGGGTTACTGTTGTGTACTGTTCACCCATCTAAGAACCTCTGATTCATTCTCCAGGTTCTACTCGAATCCGGTTGACAGGCATGTGCGCTGATGTCTGTGGCTGCTCTGCACGTAGCGGGCTTCCTCAGCTTCGGGCTGCTGCCCGCTTTTGCCCGGTGCATGGCCTACCAGGCAATAGGTGATGTCTGGGATCTCTGAGTGTCGCCCGCTGACGTGGGTTCGGCAACAATATCCGGGGGCGCACAGACCCCAATGTTTTCCCGCAACAGGGGAGGACTACTCAAATGGACCGCGGCAGTTTGCGTGTATTGTTGTCCGTTGCTCATGTTGTTCAGTAATCTTGGCCTACATTTACCAACCACTCGCGATGTCGGAAACACAGCTTAGTTGTTTTGCGAATCCACTATAAGCGATCCCGTGTCAACTTATAGACCCTTATAAAGAGGGCTCTCCTTGAAAGAAACTCATCTTTAGGTTGTGATGTTTTGCTCCAGGGGTGCACCCCTGTGAGTTTAAGCAATGAGGGACACAGGCCCTGCTGTTTTGCTTAACCCGAGTGCCCGTTGAGATCGGGTCTGCCCTTTATGATGCAATCTGGCTAGATTATGACCATCCCAGCAAAGGTGAAAGCCTTTGTTGTGCGAAGGGCACTCTTGCGTTGAGCATCGCTGGACGTCGTGCAGCAAGCATCGCCAGGTGTCAAAGCAGCGGGCGGGGAACAACTGGACGCTGCATCGTTACAAGCACCTTGGCTGTTGAGAACTGATACGTGTTTAGTGGTTTATTTGGGGGTGGGGGGTGAGGTTGCGTTTCTTTTGTTGGTGTGTGTGTGTGTTAATTGCATGTGTGTTTGTGTGAGTTTTGGTGTTATGTTTGTTGAGTTTATGGTATGGTTGTTTGTTTGCCCATCTGTTTGTTCTGTTTGTCCTACCGTCCATTTGTTTGTTTGCCTGTCTCTCCTTTGGCGTGCTGATTTTATTGGGCTGATGTATACAGAATATCAGAGAAAGCCGATGTGAACAACTACCATAGTTGGCACCGCTGAATACATGTGTATATATATATATATATATATTTATCTATCAATGTACAAATGTATGTATACTGTACAACGAAGACACTCGCAACATAGAACACATATCAGAACACATTGTTGAAGCGATGTTTATACATAGAATATACTATCTACAAGTGTATGCACGCTTTTCCGTGGACATACATGGACGGATGTCACGCGTATATCCGAACATGGTCTTTGGAGGAACCTGCAGCACCGCACTGGGGCTTCCAAGCGGAAGCGCTTTGTGGGTAGCTCGCAGCTGCCACCGGAGCTGGATGAGGAACAGCGGCTTGGCTCGGAGCTTGGTTGGCGTGAGGAATGTAAAGTAGCCTGGCTTCCAAATCATATGGACCCTGTGCGGAAAGGGAGGCCAACAGAGCGGACACCCCTTGTGTATTCTCAAGCAGGACATTTCCGCTTGAAATCAACAACCAACAAAACATGGTGCCCTGAGGTTCAAAGGCCACTGGAGGTTTAAGACACTGTTAGTTTTGTTTGCTGCAGATGTTCCTGGTTTCTTAGAGCCGTTCTGAGGAACGCCTCTCCACTGCACTACCTGCCCTTTGTCTCCCTGTGGGCCATTTGCAAAGCCAGCGAGCAGGACATTGAGCTCATGGTGCCCTACAAAGTGCCTCAGTGCTGCAGTGGTTTTCAGTTTTTGGGCCTGTCGTTTGTTGAGGGCACCCGTTGTGGGCTTGGTGTAAGGAGAGAATATATGTTGAGGGTTCCTTGTTTCATGTTTGAGATACATGTTCTTGTGTTGGTTTTCTAGGGTCAACCAGTGTTCTGTGACAGTGAGCCATGTGGAATAAGTCGTATTTGAGGCGCCTGCTAATTCAGCTGATCGTCATCAATGCTGAAGATCTCATGGAATCCGAGTCATGAGGTGATTTGTGGGCCTGCCATCACCCTAGGTGTTCCTTCACTGGCCGACTCAGCCCACTTGTGGGAGAAGTGGTTTGGTCCCGTGTCACTATGATAGTCAGGAGGAATTGGCCTTTCAGCCAAAAAAAGACGGAGCCACCTTGGCTGGTTTCGAAGGGACATCAAAAAGACGTTTTAATCGGCTTGACCGCTTCCTGGCACCGGACCGCTCTTTCTTGCAAGGTGGGCCTCAACCTTTGCCACCTCTTCGGCAGTCTGTTCCAAGCCTTCTGCTGCGCCTTTTACATGTCTCACGACTGGCCGATCGCTGCCTCCTTAGGAGTCGCCCGGCTATCAGATATGGTCAGCCTGGCCTCCGTTGTTCTTGTCTTGTAGAAGCTGTCTTTTTGCACGACCCAATAGTGCCCTGATTGCAGTGGCTGTTTTCTTCTTGGCTAGTCGATTTCATGGATATGGATCCCAGGTTTGGTATGCTTTAAATGGCTGGGCAACATGTCAGCGAGGTCTTGGAAGAGGCAGCCATTTGGACCGCGCGACAGTTGTTTCTTTCTTCCTTGTTCCCAGCTGCTCTCATATTAAACGTGACCAAACCAGGGCCTCGGCAAATCAAGTTGCGGCCTTTCAGAATCCCTTCTTGCCTAACATATAGAATCCCGCCCCCTCCCCCTATAAACACATGTCTTTCCTTTGGAACAAACATATTTATCAATAGGGTCGTAGGGGGTCTTCGGGGGGTTTTGGCTACAGTCCTCATTCAAATGGGGTTCCCCCTTTTGCCGGGTGCAAAAATCGTCAAAATCGTAATCTGTGTGAGAGGAATTTGTTTGAAATTGTTCAATTGGCACTTTTTAGGATTTGTTCAATTTAAATTTGAAACGCAACATTTGAATTGCAGTTTACAGTTTGAGTTTACACATAAACAGAAGGGAAGTGCTGAAAGTACCCCCTAATAAGGGCAGTCAGGAATTTACTATCGGTTGACTATTGGGTGAATCAATCGCACACGGGAGAGGGAAACATATATTCACAACTGAGCGGATTAATCGCTTTGTGTTGTGACCTTGTGGTGAAGGTTCCTTTTTTATGTTGTTCCCCCATGTTCAGACGGGTGAGTTTTCATTTGCGTTCCGAGGGTCAAAAACAGGGACCTCAAAAAAGGAGTGCTGTCATTCCCCCTTAGACGAGCCTTAAACAAGGGTACCCTCAAGACATGGCAAGCCGAGGTCGGAATCGCCTGCATTTGCATGACCCTTTTCATGGGCATTTGCTTGGCTCTGGCGCTTATGCGCGCCCTCCAGGCCAGGTGGGCCCAAAAGAGCCACGGGACCCGGTTCCGCAAGAGGCTGAACAATTACAAACATGATTCTTGCACGATCATGACGCACTTTGGTTTACCAGTACCAAAGCCTCACTCAAATGGTTTAGGCCCTTGTAGATCAAGGCCCAGATGCAGATATCCTGCTTGTGTGATGTTTTACCGATTTTGGGCTGGCGGCTTTGCTACCAGGTCTTGAGTATGATTCAATTGTTTAGGCAACCCTTGTGGTGTTTTGTTGCCATGACCATGTGGCGAAGGGCAAAGGTCTTTCTTACCCTGTACGTCCGTAAGTCAACATGGAACCCAAGGAAGGATCCGATCCTGCCAAGCAGCATGTTGGTTCGGCTTCTGAGCCGAACCCGCGTCAAGCCACAACTGGTACCTGGGTGATGCTGTGAAAATGCAACAGAAACTGCTTGCAATCAGTCGTCAGGGATCTCCTCAAGCCCAAAATGAGTTGATGTTGAAGTGGCCGACTTTCAGGGACAGGCAAAGCCAGTTTGCCACAAAGCAAGGAGCAAACAAAGAAATTGTCTAAGCACCAGCCTGTTAAGGCATGTCCCTCCTTCAGACCCTCCCCCCCAATCAGCGCCCAACACCCTCCAAAGATCGGGCGGTCAAACGCAGTCCGCGGAACAGGCGCCGCTTCGCTGGTGATGTGTGCCCCTAAGTCAGCTGATGAATGTCAACCAAACACCGAATGTTGCCCTAAAGAGCAAAGCCCCACGCCCCAAGTCCTAACTCTGCTGCAAAGGCTCTGCGGTTTCTGAAGCACCTGTTGTCAACATGATGACCGGTCAAATGGCAAGCGGCGTGACTCCAGCTTGACTGCCCAGAACAGGAGGCCACTGCAGGTCACCCAGGAAAGCCGACAATAAAAGGCTAAGGGGCGCTTTAGGCTGTTCATTGCCACAAAATTGATAAGTGGTTGAGGGGAACTTTGTCCAGGACTAGGCTTGCATACTACACGCACAACAGCAAATTAAACCTGCCTAAGCGATTGAACTCCTTTGGGCAACGTTACAAACTCGATGGACTCCTCGGCTTCGCGGCTTTGAAGTTGCAGATTGATCCGGAGGGCCTGATAGCAACTCCCTTTCTGCTCTTTTCCTTAGAAGCCACTGGTTAGTATAAGTGGGTTCCACTTGCGGAGGGCTTTTCGAGTGGGTTCGATCCCTGAGGTGAGCCAAGAGGTCCTTGTACAGCAAGCCTCCCTCCGCAGCGCCGCCAACGCCGCGCGCGTGAACGCCGGCGCCTCCGGCGCGGAGGCAAAGCTTCCAGCGCCGCCGCGTGTGGGGCTGAAGGGTGGGCCCAAGGGCGCAGCGGTGGGCAAACCGCGAAGAACCTGAGACACGAGAAATGAGCCGCGCGAATGGGTGGAGTTGTGAGTGCGCCTCAGAGAAAGAGTCTAGGGTCTGTAATTTGCCGACCTTTCGGGCGACGAAGCTGTCAGTCTTGGCCAAGGGGGGGGTTGTCATTCCGGGCAAGCTGCCGCAAAGAAGTGTGACATCAGGAAGATTGCGGCCTGCCACTGGGCAAAGCTTGGGCTGCATGGCTTTGGGATATAGAGTATAGACAATAGTCCCCTTCCCAGATGGATTGAAAGGGAAACATAGGGAATCCCAACGGGGAGGTCACCATTTTTTGGGTATCCCCTCTTTTGACACACACACACACACATCTTTTGCTCACGCCTTGCAATCTAGCAGAATCGTGGTGCATTGGCAGGCAGGCGCAAAGCATTGTTTGGTCTGCGGTAGCTCGGCGCAAAAGCTGGCAGCTCAAAGCTCTAGATCGGCAAAGGGAAACTGTGGCCAAACTCGCTCGGAGGACTCATCTTGAGGCCGACGCAGGCTTGCTAAAATAGTACGGAAACCCTAAACACGTCGATCTTTCGGTCTCCGCTAGGCTCCCATGACATATCTTTGAAGGACTTTCCAATTTCGTGCAGGTTCATTTGTTGGTGTTTGTGCGTGTGTTTGGTTCGTGTGAGCCGCGCAGCTTATCCTTCGCAGGCCCAAGCGCTTGACCGCTGGCCACATATAAGCAGATGGTACCGCCGCATGTCACATGCCAAGTTCCGGCAAAGCTATTTTTGTCAGGATGAAGAAGGCATCGGATTGCTTGTAGACAGACCATAGCAAACGTGCAAGACGATTCGGTGTGCGACCACACCTATGATGGAGGTTCCATTCTCGGAAGTCGTTTTTTGGGTTGGTGAAATTGGTGAAACATATTGCCAAGACTTTTGCGGTTGGTTGCTTGTGAGCAGGACATCATTTACACATTGTGTGTTTTAGCTCTGAGGCTTCTGGCCGGGGCGCATGTTTTCTGAAGCAAGCATGAAACGGGGGCCGGTCTGAATGTTTCAGCTGGTTGAAATGCACCGAACAAGTACCATGCACACAGTGGATCCATCATTTGTGACCAATGGTCACCATTTACCGTCATCGAACGCCTGCCACGTGACCAATGTCTGTAAATCCCCCCAAGGGGAAACTGAAAAGGGATGGATATGGATGGATGACATTTTGATTAGTACAGACCCCGTACTTGGATGTTTAACCAAATTTCCGTTGTCTTTTGCCACTTATGGGCACACCTTGCACTGGTCACAACCACTCCCTGGCATTGGCGTCGAGGCCCGCTGGCGGGAGCGCACTCTTTGGGGAGTTCGGGTTCATGCGAGAGTGATGAAGGCTCCAAGCTTCTTTCAGGGGTTCCCCTTGGTGAAGTCTTCTGCTTCCAGATTGACATCTAGGGTTGCCGCGTCCAAACACCCGAGACCCGGAGAGTGGTGGTGGTTTCGGAAGGATAATGATGAGCGAAAACAAAGGTTGGCATCAAGCGATCAAGAGGAACCACAGAAAAGGGGCCTCACGAAAGTCCTCTAGAATCCTTGGTTGGGGAGCCCGAGAAAACATGCCACGTCACAAGTTGCTCTGGCGGGTTGGGTTGTTGGAAAGGATGGCTGGAAATGGGGAAGAAGCGACTCTGGATTCACGAGGCTTGGGGAGCTCGCAATTTGGCTTCAGCAGTGCCACGCGGGGCTCTTTATTAAGCCAAACAAATCCTTGCTTTCCACCTCTCGAATAGTTGGCCGGCATATTAGGCCCCCTTGCATGCGCACGCGTTTGAGACATATTCCCCTGAAAATTTGACCACCACAGTTTCTTAAGGAGATTCCTTAAAACATGAAGGTTAGGGGAGTTAGGGGGGGCTCCATGTTGATCTGCACGACTCCATTTCGTCACACCGGGACTCTTCGCATTTCGATGAGCAAGTCATGTCGCCGCTTTCGGCAGGGTCCCATTGGACGAGCGGCCAGATGCGGCGGTGGCAAGTGACTTTGAGGCGCTCCGCGCACGTGCGAGCCCCCGCAGGCGTCTTGTGGAGGCTGATCATTGCCCCGGTTTTCCGGGCTCACTATTGTAAGACGGTGTCTGGGGGTTATCAAAGTCAGAACACGGGTTAAATCTACCACTTACTGGCGTACTTTGATCAGGGTACAAAGAACAACCATGCAGCCAGATGCGTTCCTTTCGCTTTGCAATTTTGCATCGCCATGACAAGTGTCCAAGTCTGGTTTCCATTTTGTCAATCCTCATCATCCACTCTCGACATGGCCATGTTTATCCAAAAACTAACCAGGCCTCCAAGCTACTGGCAGGCGTCTCTCGGAAACGGCCGCGTTTCCCCCCGATTGGGCAAGGCGCGCTGCACTGGTGGCACCTGACTTAGAGTCAGTGGCTTTGGGACAAGGTGCTCCGGCCTATTCTACGCGCAAACCAGCACATGGTTGCAACTTTCTCACAGGAGGAAGCGGCCATGGAATGGATAGTGAATCATTCGAAAGCCTCTATTTAAGACTCTGTCTACACGCATCCATGCCCACTTCGGAGTTTTGATCCAAGAGGGTTTCCACTGCTGCCACACCTTGGCCCAGAAGCCCCAAACACCCTTAAACAAATGAACATGATAAGGTGACATACCCTTTTTCCCATGAGGTAGGTGTTTGGGAAGTCAAAGCCATTTTTATGCATGATGGCATAGGGTCAGGGTGCTCATTGTTTCACGGTTTCCTGTTGGGTGATGGTCGCACCGAATTACCAGGGCCTGTCACACAGCACACAGAAACTCTACCAACCAAGTAATCCCACAAGCAGCAACTCCAAGACCCATTGAACAACTGGAGCCTTTGCGACGGCTACAAGTCACAATGCTTCTGTCGCCGGCGATCACTCCTCTATGATGCCTTGGCAACCACACGGCCTGCTTCTCACCTCATTTGGATTCATTTGAGGTCTATGAGAGAGACCCCCCCCCGTGTAGATTTATGGGGGATGGTTTCAACCCAAACCTTCTGAGCGACTTTTACCATCCCTTGGGAATGTGGGAATGTGGGAATGCCTCATGCCTGGGGAAGGTAAGGCCACAATCCCTAATCAAGGACAAGTGTGAAGGGAGGGAATATCTTTTGCTCTCATCGTTTGGATGTTTGCCTCAACATGCCTAGCCAAAACCTGGTGCCACGTATAGGGCAAGCAAAATTTTGAAAATGACAGGGTCTTAGTTGCTTATCAGCCAATATGCTGGGAAGATCTAACAAGTGGTCTATGATTTTTGGGGTTGAACGATGTTGAACGTAATCGGAGAAAATCAGTCACTTAGCATCAAGAGATAGTCTCACTAAATTAGAATGAGGTTCTGGGGTACTCAAAACAAAGTACCACATGACCATAGGATATGTTTATAAAAAGTAATGTATTTAGCCCCTTGATTGTTTTTAGCTAGGCCAGGCAATTGCAGCTGTTTAACACTGATTGCCACCTAGGCCAGCACATGGGCTGTCTGCTGGTGCTTTATGGGCCGGATAGGCGCCGGAGGGGTGGCTGGCGCTGGCTGATTGGATTTGGGTTTCCTATTGGCGGTTGAATTGATACTGGGTGTTGTTTGGTAGTTTCTTGTAGACACTTCCATTTGGTTAAGACCCCGGAAAACTACATAAATCTAATAGTGAACAATCTGTTTAAAACCAACAAGGAACAATACAAAACATATTCTTAAGCAAATGGAAGCTTAGGTGCTGGTTTGTTTGTTTGCTCGGGTTTGCCTATTGTTGTTAAGTCTCCTGAGTGGGCTCACCACTCAAAGTCTGGACACATCCCTTGTTGTTTGTGTCGGATGTAAATATTGCTTCTGGGCAAATTCTGGGGACCTCTCAAGAGGCTCAGCTTTTGATTCACCCAGAATGAAGATCTCTTACTTGAGGGTTTCTTACGTTTATTATCAGGGCCTAAACGATTAGCATGGGGTTGTGGGGTACTTCAAACCAAATTCAGACATCATAGGAAATAGTAGTTGTATGTTTAATTGTCAGCCCTATGTTGAGTGTGCGAATGCGTGAATCTTGACATGCGGAAAGGGGCTGGAACCATGATGCTGGGCCCTGGTGTCAAACCTAATTGTTAATTCAGTCCGTTGCGTGGCATCCATGCAGTGATTTACAGTGAGGTTCCATGAGCTTCAAAACTGAAGTGGTTCTGTGCACGTTTTCCACCTCTTGCAAAGCCGCAGGTGGCGTGTCTGCGCCGGGCACCCCGGAAAGAAGTCTGCGGCTGCGCCCGCAGCGCAGACTGCTGGGCACCTTGATGGACCGATTGGCGGGTCAATGTGGGAGGGACCTGGGGGACCTTCTTTCTTTCTTGATTGCTTTCTTTCCTTCCTTTCTTCCTTCCTTCTTTCTTTCTTTCTCTCTCTCTCTCTCTCTCTGTTCTTTCAATCAGCAGAGACTTCTCTCATTTTATGACCAGGCTGCTAGCGGCGCATGGCAGATACGATTCGGCGTGTGCTTGGAGGGAAACATGTGGATGTATGCATAGGATGATTGAAGCCAGCGATACACGGGAGCGGGACGATGCACATGGGGCACGTGTAGCGGTGGGGATAAAGGCAGTGTATACTGTGGATGGACAAATTCTGCACCAGTTGGAATGGATGAACTTTCAGGAATAGTCATAACAGTATCACCCTGCGGCAATGAGAGTTTCTCAAAGTGGCGGACCCTCTTTTGGCTGGCATTCAAATTGAAAGGAAACTTAAAGGGACGCCACCCATTGTCCATTGTGAAAGTTCGCCCTGTTTCTGTGAAACACCCGGCAGAAATGTTTGAATTTCACAAAAAAACATGAACTTCACCCATATCAAACCCCAAGGGGAATCGACCTTTTGACTTGTTTGCCGCTTTCGGCTACTTTTCTGGCCCCAACATGTTCACATTGGGGTCCTTGGGCGAATCGACGACCAGGACCCCTCGGCATGGCAGCGCGACCAGTTTGCGGGGGCCTCGGCTGCAAGACTTGGCGGCGGCTTGCAGATGTATACAGTTGGTTTATGTAAGAATACAATTTATAATATGCATCTATTTGTTTATGTGGATGTAAAATGTGATTTAGTGATATTTGAATGTACTTGGCAGTTCGGGGTCGAACGTGTAGTGTATATATATGTATATGTATGGCTCTGGAATTATAAACGTATGCGTGATTTGTCTATTGCCGTGGGAGTAAGGCTGTTTCATTCTACGGATCTGAAAGGAGCAGTTGTGACGCGGGTGAATGCAAGTTTACACGTGCTAGCGGTGTGCTGGCGGAAATGATTGGTTGGAAGTCCAGCTTCGTTTCCCGTCTCACAACCTTCATGGAAAGCATCCCAGAGATCCAATCACACAGAAGCTGAGCCGACTGTTTGCTTTCTACAATGCCCCGTTACAGGAATCC